TCCGTTGACGGCCATCAGCTGATCTGCAGCGGCTGTCGCTCTATCCGCTACTGCCTCCTCGTCAGGTGTTTTCGGCCGGACGAAAATGACCTCAGGGATTTCTTCGTGCGCCTCCGCCGGCTGCATGATTATGCGTTCATCGATGTAGTGGCTGCTCAGGTCTTGGTCGGCCATCTCGTTCGTGCCCATCGTTGTGATCTCGTCGAGCGTGTTGGCGAAACTGTGCTCGTCGCCGTCCCGCTGAGACGGAGCAGGAGATTTGCTGTTCCGCGCCTGTTGCCTCGGGCTCGGCGTCCTGGACTTCGCTTCTAACGGTTCCTGCTCCACAGGGGCAGCCTCCACCTGAACCTGGCCTTCGTCTGCCACTTCTTCAGCCTGACTCCTGGCTCTGGATCTACTGCGTTTGCTGCTGTCCGACTTGGACTTATGCTCACTCTTGGCCGTGACTTCGGACGCCACCGTGTTGACGACCGTGTCCTCGTGGGAGCTGTTGCGGTCGTTCCGGTCCTCCGAGGGGCTGCGGTGCGAGGAGCGCGAGTCCTCGGTGGGGCTGCGCTCGCGGCTGCCTCCCCGGGAGCCTGCGTCCTCCACAGGGCTCTCCCGCCTTGGCGTCTGTCGGCCCGGAGTCCTGGACCGCTCCGAGTGGCTCTTCCCTCGGTTTTTGAAGCGGCTGCTGCCTCCTGTAACACACAGGATACACCTCCTTAGGATATTGAGTGAAACACATTTAAAACGGATGCATTTATTCAGCAAAATCTGACATTGCAAAATAAGCACATTAAAACTGCCATAAAAATGGACAAAGACAAAAAAATATCTCACATTTGATCATAAAATTATGCCCGCATTTATCAAATGGATTATACTGTGATGCACAGACAAGATATCGTTCTTCAGTCCTTTACAGAAGTGTTAAACAATGCACGCAATTCACACAGGCTAGGGTCACTCCTTCCACCTAAGTTTACCTTCTCTCTTGCGTGAGCCTTTGTCTCTGTCCCTGTCCCTGTCTCTGTCTCTGTCCTTATTGCTGACGCTCTCGTAGTCGCTGCCTCGCCTGCGGGAGGACGACGAAACCCGCAGATCGCGCATGTGTCGCTCCAGTCGCTCCTCCTCGCCGTCGCTCGCCGACTCCGACGCCGACGCCGAGCTGCCTCGCCGGCGGGATTTCTTCTTACTCTTGCTCTTGCTCGAGTTCGAAACCTTCGTGCGAGACTCTCGTCTGTTATCCTTGATATTGAAAGATAAATTACTCTTCACCACCCCGCCGTCGTTGTCGTAATCGGACACGTCTCGGTCGTCATCTTCGTGGTCGGTTCGTCGGTCTCTCCTCCGGTCGGAACGATGTCGCTCGCTGCCTCGCCGGCTGCTGCGGCCGCTTCCTCCTCCTCCGCCGCCGCCGCCCATGGTTTTCGAACACATGCCACAGGTCCTCACTCCGCCAGAATTGATGAAAGTGCAGTGGTCGCACTGCCATGCCAAGCTGCTGCCCACCTTGTTATTCCTGCCGTCGTCGTCGTCGTCGTCGCTCACCGACGATGAACGACTCTCTTCGCTCTCCTCCGACCGCTGCTTCCTCCTGTTGCGGCTGCGTCGGCCGCTGACGTCGGCTCCGCTGAAGGAGCGCGACTTGGAGGACTTGTGCGAGCGGTGCGAGGAGGAGCGGAGGGAGGGGGCTGGGGAGGAGGGGACCTTACCGAAGGTGTTCATGGAGTCCGGGATGGACATGTTGAGGGAGCCCATCGCAGGCGGGCCCATGTGTGGGTGGTAGCCAGGGTAGTAGCCCGGAAACATGGGCGGCATGTGGTGGTGCACGTGCGGAGGCGGCGGCCCCCACGGGTACCCGGTCACGTCGCTGCCTACGGAAGAGAGGTTCATGGACAGGTTGGACGCTGTGCGCTTCATGCCGGAGACATTGGCTTGACCCGCGAGCATGTGGGCTGGTGTGCACAGGTCACATGGCGCGCCCCACATGGGCATTCCCCCGGGGTAACCCATCATGTTGAGCTGCTGGAAGCTGTTAGCCTGCAAGAAAGATAAAACAAAAAACATTCAAACAACTGAATTTCTTATTAACATGCTGCTATGAGGTCACTATACAACATCTAGAGAGACACAAGCAGACGACCCAGTGCACTAGAGGGTCTGCACGCACCGGATGAGAGCTATTAAAGCCGTGCGGGGGCTGCTGCTGAGCGAGGGAGTTCAGGTCACACACAGAGGCTGAGGACACCATGCCGCGGCCGAAGGAGCTGCCGCGGCCGCCCATTGTGTTGTAGCCTCGCCTGGTGGTGGCACCCACGAAGGCCGACATATCTGCAGGGGTGTGGCCAGGGGGGCAGCTGGGGCCGGAGGGACCCCCGGTGCCGTCCCCGCCCTGAGAGGCCATAACCTGTGCCCACTGGTCGTCGGAGATGCTTTGAGAGCGGTTGCGGGGCATGGGCTTGGGCGCCTCCGACTCCCAGCCGACGCCACCGGGGCTCGGCTCCACCAGCGACGT